TTTTTAGGGCTTGGGATATAGCTAAGAGGTAGAGCACTTGCACAGTAATACTCACCACTGAAAAAAAAATCTTATTCTTGAAGAGGGAAAGGTGGACTGTTACAACAGCTACTGGGTCCCACAAAAGCAATTTATGACCAGAGACCACCAGCCCTAGACACAAACAGCAAGTGAGTGAGAAGGAAGCCAAGCAAGGTGCTACAAAATTCCACTTGAATTTAGAGCCTTAAAATATAAAAGGGGCTGAGAGCCTTACAAAGCTTTTCTCCTCTTCACCTGCACCAGATCTTAAGATTAGATATTTATATTTTGGAAATTCAATTTCCTTTGTTTTCTTCTTTCCTTCTAAGTTCCTTTAAATCATGCTTACTGGTCTCTGGTGTTTTGGGAGAAAACAAGGCAAAAGGCTTTGCTTCACAAATGGGCTGGTCTTTTATATGGGTCAGGGCACATTCCTAGGATCTGAGATTGATGGTGGCAGATCGAATTATAGTGGGAAAATCCTCAGATCTAGATACTGTATGTCAAACCCTCTTGTGAGGGTTAATTTTAGGTGTCAACATAACTAAAGGGTTATAGGGCACCCAGATAATGGGTGAAACCTCATTTTGGGTGTGTCTGACAGATTGTTTCCAGAAGAGAGGACTGTTTGAACCAGTGGACTGAGTGAAGAAGATCCACCCTCACCAATGTGGGTGAGTATTATCCAACAGGTTGAGGACCAGGATAGAAGGAAAGGCAGAAGGATGAATTTGCTCTCTTCTTCTCCTTCTCCTTCTTCATCTCCTCCTCTTCCTCCTCCTTTCTTTTGCACTGGGGATTGAACTCAGGGGATTGCACTTGCCAGTCAGGTGCTACACCGCTGAGCTACATCCCTAGCCCTTTACTCTCTTCTGGAGCTGGACATCATCTTCTCCTGACCTTCAGACATCAGAACTCCAGGCACTCAGGCCTTTGAACTCAGCCTCAGCACATCACCAGCTTTTCAGGTTCTTCAGCTTTTAGATGGCATGCTGTTGGACTTCTTAACCTTTGTATTGCATGAGCCAACCCCCCAATTCCCATAATGAATCCCTCATCTCTCTCTCCCTTTCTCCTCAGTTGGATCCTTCATTTATTCTCTCTCTCTCTCTCTCTCTCTCTCTCTCTCTCTCTCTCTCTCTCTCTCTCTCTCTCTCTCTCTCTCTCTCCTCCTCCTTCTTCTTCTCCTTCTCCTTCTTCTTCTCCTTCTCCTTCCTTTTCTCTCTCTCTTGTTCTGCTCCTCAGGAGAATTCTGACCAAAACACTTTCCTTCTAGTGATTTCTTCTAGAATTAATTTTCACTTGAACCTGGAAGACCATTTTCATGGTCTTTCAAATTGTATCATTTTAGAGATGACTGCAACACTACTTCCCATCCACAAGCTCTTACAAAGTGACAAGGACACTGCTGTATGGAGTGGTGGGGATATCCATCTTCTCCCTGCAAAGTGATACTATGTATCTTCCAAGGCTGAAATAGAAAGGGTAATAATGTCTTCCACTTTATCAATTCTATTTTGGGATGCTAGCCTTGGAGCGAAGCCACCATATTGTGAGGAAGCCCAAGCAGCCTGTGGAGAAGTCCACATGAGGATGAAACTCAGCCATGGGCTGCCAAGCCTGGCTAAAGATCAGCAGAGCTTGCCAGCCATAGCACGAGAGGGCCATCTTGAAAGCACAACTTTCATGTGCCAGTGGAGCTGATGTCATGTAGAGCAGACAATAACTGACTCTACCAAGCCCTACCCAAATTGCAGGTTCATAAGCAAACAAATGACTTGTTATTTTAAGACACTACATCATTTTGGGCTGGGTTTTTACATGCCAAGATAACTGATACAGTTTCTTAATTCTATAGACATGAAACATACTCTTTTGTACTTACTTTGGGCAAATTCCCTTGATTTAGAGCTTCCTGTCATCCTCACAAGAAGCTGTCCCTATGGCCATCCTACCCTAGATTCTAAGAGGGGGTCTGCAGCCACCAAGGAAGATGAGAAGTGACAGGTAAGCGAGCTATAGTTCTTAAGTCAGTAAGTGAGCTATAGTTCTTAAGTCAGTAAGCGAGCTATAGTTCTTAAGTCATGCTTGTTCAGTGAGTGTGAACAGGGAGTGAGAGGTTCATCTTCCACACCTGCACCTCTGTTGCCACCTTCTCACATGTCCTCTGAGGGGCATGGACATGTTTGGGTGGATGGCTAGCTGTGATTTTGCACAGGATAACAGATAAGACTGGCATTCTGCATTTCCAAAAGCAAACACTGCTGTGAGGTTAACAGAAGATGATAGATGTTCTCATACCTGATACATATAGCATTCCTAGAAAGATCTGTGTACTTATCAGGGATATTGATGACCAACCAGGTACACGTAGGAGCTGCTCATGGGATTGGTTGTCTTTCTCCCTTTTGCCCCCTTTGGACAGCTGGGATCCATGCTGCCTTTGTATACCCAGCTAGTTGTTCATGCCAAGAAGGAGCTGCAATCCATCCTGGATCCACAGCTCTGTCACATGTCAAGAAGGAAAGATTTGACTGCTCTAGTTCCTCACTGTTGGCTGGTGCGGTGCCTCTCTACTGAGCTGATCTGAAACTCTACTGACACGTTTGATATTAATGATGATGATCCTGAGCTCTCTCTCTGTGTATCTCAATTTTCTTCCCTTTCCTCTCTGCTGTCACTTCCCTGTTCCTCTCCATCACCAGTAGACCTAGCCCAAGGAATCTTATTCTCTTCTTTAGGTAGTTCCTTTGAATTCCTTCCCAATCCAACTCATGCTTTAAGCTCTATATACTTTTTCTTTCCAATCTGACAAATAGCTTTAATTTTTCAGCAGAAACCACCACCTTGAATAGGATGAAGTGAGCAGTGAAGCAAATATGACTGAGATGGATCGTGAGAGTGACTCTATCCTTTTTGTCAGCCTGCTGGGCACTTGTAGAAAGCTTCTTTGCCCAGATGCTTCCCATTCCTCTGCCTGTCATACCTCAAAAAAGAGAAGAAACTTGGACTAGCCCGATGGAGACTGGCATTTCCCTCTAGGCCACATTAGCTGCTTAGAGGTTTTGGAAGGGGAAGAATCCTGTTACCACCAGTTGTTTTAGGCAGCTTTTTGTTACCATAACAAAATTCCCAAAGCAGATTACTTCATAAAGAAAAGAAGTTTATTTTAGTTCACAGTTTTGTAGGTTCAAGGGTATGGTACCTGTATCATTTCAGTTCTGGTGAAGGCCCCATGGCAGATGACAATGGAGAAGTGTGTGTTGGGGAAGGCAGGTACATCTTAAGCCGGCGGGGGGAGATTGATTTTCATTCTGGGGCATGCTGCCAAGGAACATGCGTGTCAACAAGGTCTAGAGCTTCCGGCTCACTTCATAGCTCCAAGAAAGGCATCGTGGCCCAGAAAGAGAATGGAAAGCAATGGCCTGGTGGGTGCTTTCTTGAGTGTGGTGGGGTGGTTGTGGTGGTGGGGGTAGGAGGATATTCAAGAGCTCTGCTTCTCCAGATTATACTCAGATGCTAACCCTGCACAGTGTGTGTGCTCCTCCACCAGGGGTCCCGGTTCTCCTTCCTGGCTGGCAGTGAGCGGAAGTTCAGGCCTCAGGGAGGGCTGTTCCTCCATCATCCTGGCTTCTTGTTCTTGTTGGAGCTTCATGTCCTAGAGCCAGGCCTCTGTGGCTCATGGATGGTGTGAAGATGGAATTCCTGAGCTCTCCTTCACTGTCTCTCAGCCTTCCTTCCTAGGCCACTGGCCTCTCCCGGGGAGCTGTGCAGCTCTCACTCCTTGAAAGAACAAACGTCTTCCCTGCAGCCTCAGAGCACTGCTGTGAGGTGACTGTCGTAATGTTTCCATGACACTCATTTATTCCTTCTGGAAATACAACTGTTTTCAGGGGAAGGATGTGGAGAGGTCTGGGCAGGGAGACTGGGAACGCGAGGACCGTCCAGCAACCTTACCTATCTTCCTCTATAGGAGTAAGGAGCCCCTCTTTCCTTTTCCCTGTGTCTCTCCACCCCAAACCCCTAAGTCGCTCCCCCAATCCATCCTGGCTTCATGCAGCTCGGATGGGGCTAGTCTGAGTGAGGGGGAGGAAAAGCATCATGTGCATGAGGAAGCGGTGTTTATTCAGAAGGGGGAAAACTTTTATTGCTCGAAGTTGGGATTTAGTAATGATGAGCAACAAAGACCGGCACCGGGGGAGGCAGTGTGCTGCACATGTGTTCCAGAGGGGTCCGTGACACACTGCAGCTGAGCCAATGACTCATTCCGAATCCCAGCGACTTTTAGAGGTCATTTTAGTCATCCCCTGCCTTCGGGCTGGATGGAACCTAACTCACCGTCATGTCTGGGGGAGGTGGTGTGCCATTCAGAGGGACGGTGTGCAAGTGCAGGGTGGGGGAGGGGAGGCGGCGCGTGACCTCTTTGAAGAGCTCTCCAGCGAAGGACCTTCCCAGCCTTCCCAGGCTGCCCGCTCTGGGTTTCCCCATCACTGAATCAGTGTGGTCCTCCGGGAACTGCTTTTAGCTGGATGGAAACCGGATGTTGGGTTCCCTGGGTGGGCGGGGGCTCGAGCCCCACAGACCTGTCTGGGGTAATTGATACTCCAAGGGTCCCGTTAGCCAGTCCTAGAAGCTACCATTTCTTTCACCATAAACTTGCCATGCAATGTGAACAGAGAACAGAACAGAGCGAAGATGCTACAACGCCTTCTCCCAGGCAATGCGCATGATTCTGCGGCTGTGTGCTCGCCACTCTTCAACGCACCTTGAAATGGGCTCGCCTACTTTGGGCCGCGACGGGCAGGCCGGAAAGCCAATCAGAGCCCGGGTTTGTGGGTGATGTCCAATGGGAGGGCGGCGGGGGCGGGGCTGAGGCTAGGCTTTGCCGCTGACCTGGCTGCGCGCTGCCTCCGCTAGTAGTGCAGGTGCCGCTGCGCCGGGCCGGAGGCTGCGCTGAGGAGCGGGCCGGGAGGGATGGGGAGCGGGCCGCCGGGGCTGCTCGGGGACCGGCGCGGGGAGTAGCGGCGCGGGGCGCGCGGGCGAGGCGTGCGGGCGCAGGGGCACTTCGCGATAGGATGAGGCTCCGGGCTGGCGCGCGGTAGTACTATGATTTGGTATGTGGCCACTTTGATAGCAAGTGTGATCAGCACCCGAGGGCTCGCGGCTCAAGGTGAGTTGAAGTGCAGCGCCCCTCTGCCGCCCTCCTGGCTCCCGCCGCTCCCGCCCCGGCTGGGCACTGCCAGGCACGCGGGCGGGCGGGGCCGCCTGGGAGCCGAGGTCGACCTCGCCCCCCGCGATCCCCCGTGCGCCGCGCCGTGGCCGGGGTCGGAGCAGCCTCTGCTCGGGCTCGGGATTGCCGGCCTCGGGTCTCGGCCGCTGCAGCGCGCGCGGGGACGCCGCCGGGACCGGCACCCGCACCCGCGCCCTGGGCCCGCCCTGCCCACGCGTGTCGGCCGCCAGAGGTCGGGTCCCGCTCGCAGGGCCGGGGGCTCCCGGGGAGAGCGGCGGAGGCTGGGGCGAGGGGTGCCCGCTGTGGGCTTGCCCCACTCTGGGCTTGCCCCGCCTGGCATCTCCCGCGCCTGTGCTAGCTGCGCCTGGGCCGGGGCCGGGCAAAAGTTCCCCGGACCTGTGCCGACCCTCGTTGTCCTTCCTGGCCGGGAGGCTGCCGGCGGGCTGGGCTCTGCACCCCGGAGCGGGGCGCGGCTTCTCCTTCCTGGAGAGACGCGCAAGGGAAGCTAGCGCGCCCGGAGATGCGTGCGTGCGCGCGCGGGCTTTTACTGGGAGCCGGGCAGAGCGCCCCACGAACCTCTGGGTGGCACCCCGGCTCCCGGTCCTTGTATGGAAGTAGCAGCGGAGCTGGAGGCTGCCAGCGCCCTGAGCTCCTGGCTCCCAGCGCACCGGCACTGGTCCGGCGGGCTCCCAGGCCGGGGTGAAGTCCGCAGGCCAGGCGGGACGCGGGCTCCCCGCAGAGCCGGGGCTGTGCTGTCTACAGTGTTACCCGGGCGGTCCTCTCGTCACCTTGTTGGGGAGGGGGTGATTTGAGAAAGTTTCTGAAACGGAAGGAATATGTCTCCTGTGCTACTTGGGAGGGGGTGTCTGAAAACAGAACAGCGAAGGAAGGCTGAGAGAAGGATGGCTTTGTCAAGCGATCTGTTGATCAGGGTTGTTTTAAAACTCCCTATGTCCGGTGGGGACACTGTGGCCAGGGTGACTCCAGAAGCTGGGTGGGATGGAGGTGGATGCATGGTGGGTCGGGTGTGCCTGAGAGTAGCGCCTCCTACTCTCGCACCTCCTTGTTTCCCTGCAGTCTTCCAATGCCCTCGCCCTTCTCCCCTCTGGTTTTTGGTATGTTCCTGGTATGGGACTGTCACCGAAAGCACACAAGGATGTGCTGGGATCTTGGAATAAAGAGACACTGAAGGGAGGCTCGGAAATAGCTCCCAAACCTAAGCCAGCCTGGGGGCAGTGGACTTTTTTTGGAAGTTTAAGCACAGAGTCAAGGAAAATGGGTTTGTGATGCAGGAAAATGGGTTTGTATTGCAGAATGGCAAGACAGGAGGAAGAACTTCCCGATCTTGAAGATCGCTGGGCATGAAGGTTATACTTTCTGAGGGTGGGGAGGTGCTCTGCCCGGCTGCTTGGCATGCAATCTTCTCTGAAGGTGAAACATGATTGGTCACGGGGTCTTTTTAGCTTAACATGGCTTTTTAGCTTAACTACGCATGGTAGTGAACAACCTAAGTTTAGAGTTAATTTTCTGTGTTCAGCTCTTGGCTGCACCACATGCTGACCCCATGACCTTGGACAAATTGCTCAACCTCTAAATGTCATTTGTCTCAGTGGAAAAAGGGTTAACAGTATGAGTTTATAGATTTCTTTTTTGTTGTTGAACAATTAATGCTATAAAGAACTGAGTGGTTACCTGTTCTATAGTATGTGCTTATTAAACATTATTTCACTATCACTAGGATAACTGGCTGCTCCTCACTTTCTCTTGGGCCATTCAGGGAAACAGAGCTGGGAGTGTGTTGGGGAAAAGTTCAGAAGGCTGTCTAGAACTGAGATCCCTGAATGGGCTGACCTTGTCCCCTGCAATGTACAGACATACATCTGTGCAGGGTGGCCTCAGAGCCACTTGGAAGTCCTTTACAAGGTCCATGAAACTGAGTGTGGTTGGGACAGAGCCTTGTAGAAGGACACAGAGCCTAGCCTTGGGAGCGGTGGGTACCTGCCTACTGAGGAGTACCAACCAGTGCTGAGGCACTGGTGAGCCTTGTGAGAATCACTGAAGAGGTGGCTTCTGGGAAGATTCCTGAATTGGAGGGCCTGCAAGATGCCATTCATAGGATTTGGCATCCGAGGGAGGAGTGAAAGGGGGTTGCCAGGTTGGGTTGGGACTCAACCCATTCCTGTGGGGTGGGGGTGGGATTGGCCTCTTCTTTGACTTTGACAGTACGTGTAGGAGGTGGTTAGGTCAATGGAGGGATGGAGAGGTGAGGAGGAGAGGGGCTACTGGCATGGCCTCAGCATCCCAGATGTCTGTGAGCAAGCCAGCTGTTTCTATGCTGTGGGAGGACTCTTTGCCAGGCCTGGCTGACTTGGACCCTCAGATAGGGGAGGGAAGTCTGGTCTTTCCAAGGCTGACTCTGCTGTCTGCCATGGAGTCTGTGCTTGGATTATCCTGACTCCAGCATCCTGAAATAAAGTGGGTTCTGACAGATCCCGCTGCTGGTTGAAGCAGTGTCCTCTACTCTCTACCGAGCCTTGACCCACCCTTCTTCCTTTCCGAAATGGAGACCGGAGGGAGGAGGTTCAAACCCAGTGGGCAGCTGAGAGGAACCCGGCTCAGGAAGTGCCGGGGTGTGTGTGTGTGTGTGTGTGTGTGTGTGTGTGTGTGTGTGTGTGTGTGTCCAGCACCCGCATGCTGACGGCAGGGCTGTACCTGGTAGGATGCACCCTTGGAGAGGCTGGGGAGGTGATGGATGTGTTGGATAGGGCATGGTGTTTCAGCTACTGGCCTGTGGCCCGAGGTAGGCCAGGCTGTGGAGTTGTCAGGGCCCAGATCCTGGGTGGTTCATGTTTGAAGCTCTGAGCAAAGTGACAGAAAGCTGACATCTGGTTACCCAAGGAGCAGAGGCTGCCTCTTGGGGAGATCTGGAACACAGCATCTCTGCTCTCCTGCCTGTGCCTTGCTGTCTCTCCTGGTGTCTGCTTTTCCTTTCTGCCTTCTGCCCTGCCAGGGTGACTCCTCTCAGAGCCTGGCCCACTCTTTCTCAGCCTTGCTTGGCATCTACTTGTCTCCTCACAGTTTTCCTGTTTGCTGTGGGGGTGAAGATGAAAGAGAGCTGGGCCCGAGAGTTAACCAGTTCTCTTCCCTATGAGTGCCCCCATCCTGTGATCTCAGCTGCGGTGCAGGGTTCCCAGGGAGCGATCCCCTCTGACTGCTTCCTAGGATGGGTTAAGTAGCTTGTGTGAAGAGTGGATCTGAATGGTAAAAAGCTGTAACTGGTGAGAACATCCAGCTGTCTAGAGGTGTGTGTGTGTATATACACATGTATCACGTGTGCACCTGTGTGCATGTTCACGTGCCTCTGGATGCACTGTGTATGTACACACCTGTGTGTATACATGCATGTGCCTGTGCATTCCTGTATTGCACATGTGCTTCCTTTTGTCCACCTGTCTGCATGCAGCATTATGTCTATGTACATGTGTGTGCAAGTGCCCATGTGTTATGTGCATACATGTGGAATGTGGTGACACAGCAGGGGGAGTTAGGTGCAGATGTGAGGTAGCAGCCATCCCTCTTGAGTGCTTCAGTGGCAGTGAGACTACACATGCTCTAGCAGACTCCATGTTCTGCACCTGAGGTGAGAGCTCAGAACTTTCCAAAGTTGGTGGCTCCAGTCCAGGGGCTGCATTGAAGGATGCCTGAGGTTCTGGGACAGAGCCTAAATGACAGGTGGTGGGGGCAGTGCTGAGAACAGCCTGTCTTGCCAGGAGGAAGGCTCCTGGCCATGGTTGGCACCCTTCAGGTAGAGTAGGGTCTGTGTCCCTGGGAAGATGGAGGAGATGCTGGAGAGGCAGCTCTGAGGCAGTCCCCACCCTGAGGTACTGCCCGTGGTGTGGGCCTGGTCTGCCAGAGGCACTGACCTATTTTTCTCAGGAATCTTCCTGCTTTTCTGCTCTATCTTGCATGAATAAGCAGGAGAGGAGCAGATATGGGGGCTCAGTGAGGGTTTTGGAGAAAGAACCCATGGGGGCCAGGGCTAGGAGGGAGGTCCCAGACAGCCTGCCTGCCCCTTGTCAGCCCAGCCTCTGTCCCTCCTTAGTTCCCTGGCCTCCCTCCTGGTCACATGTGCTTGTCAAGATGGGCTGTGGCATACAGCTTGCACACAGACACACATCAGGAGGTCAGTCACTGTCCTCCTTTTCTGGCTTCAGAGTAGGGAATGTTGATGATTCGCTGGGAGTAAATGTGGAATTTTTGTTTCCTGCTTAGTTAGGATACCTGTAAGCCCCTCAGCAGTAGCCTGGCCTTGTGGCAGGTCCAGCCTGCTGTGCCTTCCCCTGGTGGCCTTGTAGGCTGCTGCCTGGCTGCTTGGGGGCCACACAGAGTGTGGGGGCAGGCCTCCACCCACGTGGTGGGGTGCAGGTTGTGAGGGTGGGAGTGTGGCTTCGTGTTTCTGCTGAGGAGTCATTAAAGGAACAGAACTGAGATTAGATTACTGACTTCCTTCCTGCCAGTGGCTCATGGGGAAAGGGCTCTTGGAAATACAATCTAGCAGAGCAAATTAAAGTCTCTAATAGCACCAGTGGCTCACTGGCTGCTGGGGGAGCCCAGCCCAGAAGGGTTAGTGGGGAGTTGGCCATTCCTGGCCCTTCCCCCTAGTGCCTAGCTGTTCACGACGTTGCCAGGTTTTCTGGCTGGGCCCATGCTGGACTTACCTAACCTTCAGAGGTTTGGTGGGTGGGGTACTGGAAGGGCAGTGAGGATGATGCCTTAGAGGATGGGGAGACACTCCTCTAAGAGGAGTGGGGTCCTTCCTAGAAGCACAGGGACACACAGGAGGGCCTCTGGGCCTCTTGCTTTGTGAGCAGGAGAGCAGGGGATCTGGTATCCTGGGCTTGGGTCTCTGCTCCTTATCAGGCCCTCTGGGTGCTCCTCGCCCAGGCGTGGGCAGTGGGGAGCCAGCCCTCTGCCTGCCTTTTGTGGACACCACCCACTTGGTGAGCGTCAAGTCTGCCAAGCTCTCTGGGATCTCCTGGAGCTCCTGGCTTGTTGAGGAGGAGGGATTGGGGACTATTGGGGGCCGAGCCTTTTTTGGGCTCAGCAGGGATTATTTTTAGGTTGGCAGATGGAGGTGGCGGTGGCTGTCACTGGTATTATTAGACAACAGGCCTGTGGTTTGAGAGTCTGGTGCCCAGAGGAGGAGGAGGAGGAAGAAGAGGAGGAGGCTGCCACTGGGTCTGTACTAATGAGCCACAGAGGCAGGTGCATCCCTCCCTTCCCTAGCCCACCACCAGGATGCAGGCTGGGGTTCCAGGGTCTCAGGCCAGGGCTGTTCATCCCTGTCCAGCTGCTTTCTGAGACAGGCCCGCCCTGTGAGCCTTCCCTGGTCCTCCTGGGCTGTAGGATCTGGACTCATGGAACCTGTTCAGAGTGTGGGGTGGGGGCAGCTGGGCCCTGACCCAGTGGTGCAAGGAAGGGGATGGTGATGGGGAGAGGCTTTGGTCTCCTGGGCCAAAAGGGTGGGTGGGATAGAGTGGGAATCCTGACCCTAGCACCTGTTACCTGGGTCATTTTGGGGAAGCTACATAGCCTCCCTGTGAAGACAGCTATCCTGGTCCTGGGGCCATTTATAGATATACAGTGACATTTATGGCATTCCTAGCAGAGCCTGGTGTGTAGTAGAGCTTTGTAGTATATTCAGTTTGCCTGCCAGCTCAGGCTCTTTCAGCCTGCCTGTCTTTCCTCTGGCTCTGAGCATTTCCCCTTCTCAGGACCCTTCCTCCTCCAGCCTTTCTCTGGTAGATGAGCTCCAGGTTGTGAGTGTTGGATGTGGGGCCGTGCCAGGCCTTGGAAGGCCTTGTGGTTCTGGGTCCAGAGTGGGTCTGCCGTCGGCTGTGGTCTCAGATACCCACTGGGTATCACCTGGCCCAGAGAATGGAGATTTGTGCTCTGTGGGGCTTCCCAAAAGGTCAGCCAGGCTGCAGGGGGCCCCCTCACTCTCCTACCCTCCAGCTTTCTCCTCCTTGCCAGGTGGCTTAGCTCCAGAGTGGCCAGGGCAGACCCCCAAGATGCAGATAAGCCAGGTTCAAGGTACAGTTTGCTGGCTTCTCAAAACGGAGCTGCACCTCATAGCCTCCTTCTGCTGTGCCCTACCCCCTGGCCATTGCCAAGCCAGTTTTCCCCTGGAGGGAGACATCCTGACCCCCCTGGGCTGCTGTGAAGGGGAGGGATCAGAGCGACCCCTGTGGTCCCTGTCCCCAGCTACCCCCAGGTCCCCATCCCTCTCCCTGGTTCTCCCTGCTCTGAGGATCTGTCTTCATCCCAGTGTTTGTCTTGCTGTCCCTGGCTGGCTGGGCATGTGTCCGGCTCACGGGAGGCCCATCTGTGCCTCTTCCTCTGCTCCTGAATCTCTCCTGAGTTTGGGTTTGCTCCCCCGCCATGTTTATTTCTCCTTTGTCAAGCCCCTCTTCCCCTTTACTGCCACCCTGATTACTTTGTCCCTTTTTCTCACCCTGAACTTTTCTGGAGAGTGTTGTATTAGACATACTTGGCTCAGCAAGGATCAGGCTTTGGGAGAAGTGTTTGTGGGTGATAGAGTAAGACTGCATGCCGAGCACGTGTGTGTGTGTGTGTGTGTGTGTGTGTGCGTGCGTGTGTGTGTGTGCGCGCGTGTGTGTATGTGTGTGTGGTGAGGGAAAGCAGGTGTATATTTTAGGATCTAGAAAGCGAGGCATGGCTGCCCGCTGCCTCCTTTCTGAGAAGCCATCTGGTCTGTCCCCCATGTCCTCTCTGGGGATGTCCTCTCTGCAGCTCTTCTCTGGGGTGGACAGGGTCCTTGAGAAGATCTGCTGGGTGGGGGGGTTCCTGCTGCCTTTGAGAGGGCTTCATGCTGGAGGTTGCCTGCTCAGCCTAGGGCTGGCTGGGCCGGAGGCGGGGCATAGAAGGAAGGTGTGAAGGAGCTGCCTCATTGCCGTGCAGTGAGAACGAGGCAGCTCTGGGTGCAAACGAGCAGCTGGCACTGTGGGAACCTATTTTGAGGCCACTGACCTCTTGGCATTGCCCCCAGTACCCTCCATCCCAGCAGCCTGTTCTGCAGAGCCAGACTGCACTGTTCGTGGTTCCTGGCTGCGCCCAGGCTCTGGAGCCACAGGGCCTACCTGTGTGATCCATTCTGCCTTCCCCCAGGACCCAGGCGCCCAAGAGTGACCCCCTTCATATCCCCCAGACGCCTGAAGTTTTTCTCATCTCCTCAGTCTGTGCTGCAGACAGGGTTGTTGCATGTGTTGCACAATGCCTGTGGGTGCCCACACAGATGTGCACACATGCTTACATACGTGTGCACACGTGTTGCTTCTCCTGCTTGCTGTGGCACCTGCTGCTCACCCCTTCCTCTGGTCCAGCGTTGGCCTTTGTGTTCCTGGATGCAGCTGCAGCCTTGGCCTTCCCAGGTGCCCTGGTTTGGGGAGGTGCCTGCTGCAGCTGGGCCCTCTCCTTCTCTCCCCGAGGGGCTGCACTACCAATGGAGCCTGAAGCCAGGTTGGGGTTGGGGAGCTGGGAAACCTGCTGGGGCCCAGGGCAGGTGAGTGCAACACTGCTCTGCTCCAAAAATACTCTGTGATCTTAGCTCTTTCTCTAGAAAATAGTGATGTCACCGGGAGCCAATCGGCTTCTGGAAGGGCTTTCCTCCTCCTCCTCTTCCTTAGGCAAGTTGCAGGGGAGAGGGAGGGGGAAGAAAGAGATGCAGAGACACACAGATGACATACAGACAGAACTGGAATTCACAGACATGCAGCAGAGACACAGCCCCTCACACAGATAAGCAGTCAGAGCCCTTCCCCTCACACAGACTGACAGACAGCCATGGACCCCTGCCCTCCACCCAGTGGACACAAACTCGTAGGAGCAGAAACAGGAAGATAGGCAGGCAGGTGGGCACTTACTCATGCAGTGGGAGCAAGAGAAAGAGACAGAGAGAAAGATGCTGATAGAGGGACATGGGGAAGGAGAGGACACACACACACACAGAGAAGAGCATGAGACAGACATACATGTATGAACCAACAATAGATGGACCAAGACACATAGAGATGAGTCAGTTAGAGAAACAGAGATGCAGAGAGACATACAGGGGACAGAGATGGAAAAGGAAACAGACAAACCCAGAGAAGGAGACACACACACACACACACACACGTGTGCGCAGCCAGACACAGATATGAAGGACAAACAGAGGGCTGGAGCCCTCGGTGGGTCCCAGGTGCAGAGCCAGGCCAAGCCTGCCACTCTCCTGCAGCACTGTTCAGTCCCCAGGGAGGGAGCTGGCATCGGCTGCTGTCCCAGGTGCTGCCCTGAGAATCAGATGCCCAGCTGGGCCCGGGGGTGGGGGTGGGGAGAGCCTGTGGTCCCTGTGGAAGTGGTGGGTTCAGGGGAGGCAGGCCTGAGGCTGTCCTTCGCTGTCCCTTTCACTGGCTGTCCTGGACAAGGTGACCTTGGGTCTCCCTCGCCCCGGTGGCCACAAGACCCGGCTGGGTGGGAGGAGTGTCTGCTGGAGTCATGCTGGCTGCATGACTGTTTGGGGCCCTGGAGTGGAGCCGCACTGCGTGGGCAGCGCCCTCGTGGGTCAGCTTTGCGGCTCTCTCTCCTTGCAGCTAGGGTGGGGGCGGAGGCCTCCTCAGCCAGCCAAGATGGGTAACCCCATCCAGTGGTCTCTGCCTGATGTCCTCTGCCAAAGGTAGGGGCTGCCCCAGGTCTTCCTCCTCACCCCCAGCCTCTGGTGTCCTGATGATGATGTCTGGGGCATCTTGGAGCGTCTGATAGATTTGAGGCTCGGAAACGGGGCCGCAGCACTCCCCCTCCCCTCTGCAGCATGGCTGGCGCAGTGCTGGAAGGAGGGGCTACAGAGGCCAGCCCAGGCCGGTGGGGTTTCCCTCTGGTGTTGCCGGGAGCAGCCCGGCTTAGCTTGTTAGGGATTCCCTGCTCCTGTGTGCAGCGCTCTTGTTTAGTGCTGGAAAACCAGGCTGAGGGGGCGGGGCGGAGGAGGCCGGCTGGCTCTGGGAAGCGCCTTGCTTCAGGAAGGAGGTTCCTCAACCACAGCAGCTCTGCTGGCGGGGCGGGGCCTCCGGCTCCACGTCCTCCGCTCCTTCTGGTCCTGGGGGAGAGTTTCCGAGCTGAGCACCCATGGTGATACCTGCTGCCTTTGGGGATGAGAGAGGGATGTTCTCGCTCCCCCCATTGGTAGGTCCTGGAGGCCCCCAAGACAGGGGGTATGAGTAAGAGACGGGGCCGGAACCTGGGGGCCTGGGGGCAGGTGTAAGGAGGGGGACAGAGGCTACTGCGGCAGGATCCGGCACCTTCCCCCGTCCCGACTGGGCTGCCCCACAGGTGCCCACAGCCTGCGAGAGGAGCCTGAGTTTGTGACTGCGAGAGCCGGCGAGAGCGTGGTCCTGCGATGCGACGTGATCCACCCAGTGACGGGACAGCCCCCGCCCTATGTGGTAGAGTGGTTCAAGTTCGGAGTCCCCATCCCTATCTTCATCAAGTTCGGCTACTACCCGCCCCACGTGGACCCTGAGTATGCAGGTAAAGGGTGAGCGCAGAGGGCTGGCCCGCCTTGCCTTGCCGCCCTCTGGGCTTGGGCCTCACATTCCTTCCGCCCAGGCCTTGGTGATCACCCTGCGGTCTCCAGTGCCCCCGCCTCTGTCTCTCAGTTCTTTCTCCTCCCGGTCTGTTATCTCTCTTCCTTCCACCTTTGCCTCTTTCTCCTGTTTTTGAACTCTGATGGGTTTTCACTAAGTGGCAGGAGGCAAGGACACAGGAGGACAGGGCACAGGAGGAGAGGCAGATGGGACACAGCAAGGGCTGGAGAGGGGCCAGGAGCACAGGGTAAGCTAGGCAGGGGCTCTGTGGGAAGGGTGCCAGGACCCCTGTCCAGAGAAATGAGGAGTCACGGCCCCACGCTGCCAAGTGTAGCATAGCTGGGACTTCAGGATCTGCTGTCTGCCAGTGCCCATGCCCTCTCTCCTGGTTCTGAAGCTGGATGTCCTCCTGAGCTGGGTATGGTTTGTCTCTCTGTCCCCCTCTGTCTGTGTCCCTGGCCTCTGCCTCCTCCTAGTCTTGCTTGTGTCTGCCATGCAGTGACTCTGGCTTCCTGGTGACTCACTGGTGCCACCTGCCAGCCTGGGGTGTGTCCCCAAGCATAAGTGTGTGCTGAGGTCCAGAGGGAGGGGACTGGCAGGGCTCTGCCTTCACTTTGTCTCTCCTGAACTGCCTTTCTCTCCTGACGATTCCCTGTTGGTCTCTTCCACCTGAGCCTGTTTCTCACTCTCCTCCTGACCAGGGTTATTTTGATGGCCTGGGACTTAGGCTGACTGCCAGTCCCAAGACTGGACAGCAGAGGAGAGGTGGCTCTGGACCTGGAGCTGGGGTGAGATGAGGGTTGATGCCAGGAAGGGGCCTCTGCAGAGAAGCTCACCCTCTTCATGTCCGAGGCCAGAGGTGGCCTCCTGATGGAGTGGAGGAAGGGTGGCTAGGGGTCTCCTCTGCCTGTCTTCCTGGTCCTCATCCTGGTCCTGTCCTCTGGTTTATAGGCCCATTGCCCTCAGCTCCTGGATCATGGGCTTTGGTAAGAGATGTACCTGGCAGCAGGACTGGGAGGGGCCTAGTGTTGGGCCGCCATCTCTCTGCCCTACCGTGGGGAAGGCGGCAGGGAGGGCGCTGGTGAGGCCGTCCTGGGCACTGAGCTGGGGCAGGTATGTTGTCCGGCCTTCGTGGAACTGCTGTGGAACCTGCAGAGGCTCCAAGCTTATCCTCTGTCTCTGTCTCTCTGTCTCTGTCTCTCTCTCTTCCTGCTCTGTATCCATCATGCATCATGCTTTTCTTTTGTCCCAAGAGATCTCCAAAAGAACAGGTGCATTCTAATGGGCGGAGGCTTTTCTCAGTGCTGCACACTGAACTGCTCCCTGGCTGGGGCAGGGCTAGCAGGGAGGGGACAGAGACTCCCTTATGAAGGTGTCCTGCCTTTCTCTTTGCTCCTTGCTGCTTGTGGAGGTGGTACCAACTGTTACCCTGGGGCCCTCCGTTGGAACTGGTTTGAGGGTCACAAGCTGTCCCTGCCTTTGGCTAGGGTGGGAGGTGGGGAGGAGCAGCTGACCTGGCCTGATGGTCTCCCTGGCTTCTGTCTACTCTCTTCCCCCAGGCCGGGCCAGTCTTCATGATAAAGCATCCCTGCGGCTGGAGCAGGTGCGCTCCGAGGACCAGGGCTGGTATGAGTGCAAAGTGCTCATGCTGGACCAGCAGTATGACACCTTCCACAATGGCAGCTGGGTGCACCTCACCATTAACGGTGCGTACAGCCCCTTCCGGGGCGGGGCTGCTCTGGAGGAAGCCCCTCTTCTGACTGCCCCCTGTACAGTCCCTCAGCCCTGCTGCTGCAAACCTGAGCCCCAGTGAGATCTCCACTTGCTTCTGTCAGCCCCCTCCCGTGCCACTTCTCTTCTGGGAGCCCCCATCACTGGGGTGCATGGGAACAGCAGCTCCTGTGTGCCAGGTGGTATCAGAACTTCTTCGGGGGGAAGCAGGCTTGCTTCTGGAAACCTGGAGGGTTTAGGCTCTGTGGGGGCAAAATTGATCATTGCTAGTATCACTCCTGGCTGGGGGTCATCCTGCTAGTCCAGAAAGAGCCCTCCCTCCAGTGGGATTTCAGAAGTTTCTTCTTAGGTTGTTACTGTGGTTTCTTGTTAAATGCATTTATTTGAGTAATAAGTATTGAGGGTCTGTTATGTGCCCAGCTCTGCAGCAGATGAACGGTAAATGCGGCCCCTGCTCGTATGGGGTTTACCAGCTCATAAAACGTAGGAACAGTTTTAGTGGCTGTTATTTATGGCTCAGGTTAAGTGGATCCTGCTGTGTACAGACGCCTTTCCAGTATTAGGAGGAGCAAGGAAGCCGAGGTGAGCTTGCCCAGTTCTGGGTTGGCTTAGGCTATAGGCCTGGGCCCACAGGGGTACAGAGCCAGGAGGCTGGGTCTTCAGGGTCACCTGGGGGGAAGAGTTCCCTCTTTGTGTCCTTGGGAGTCCGTACCTGGAGATGCTTTAGAGGCGCCAGGAGGCTTAAAGCATGGAGGAACACTGGTCCCCATAGAGGGAGGGGAATGGAATATTTCGCTTTGGTTTTACTTTGTTCTTTTGGTCTGACACTTATTCTTTATTTAATTGGTGGCAAAAGTATATTGAGCATCTCCATATTGCAGACGTTGTGCTGTCTTTGAGGCTTTGATGGCATGTATGTTTGGATTTGCCACATGCAGTGTGGTGCTTATGTTCTGGTGTGTGAGGCTGTGGATACTGTGGTTAGAAGAAATTGATGTTGTTTCCGGCTTAGAAGCTTCTCTCAGGATTGATCTGCCCTAAAGCACGACTCCTTCCCCCTACTGACTGGTAGTAAGTTTGTCAGACCTGTGCTCCTTCTGGGTCTGAGAACCTGTCCAGGATCGTGGAAGAACAGAGTATTTTTACATTCAATATATTTTTATTTTTTGCAGTGCTAGGGATCAAACCCAGGGCCTTGTGGATTCTGGCCAAGTACTCTACCACTGGGCGACTCCTGAGCCCTAGAGCTGAGTATTTTAGCAAAGGCGCTGGCCTGTAGGACAGGAGACTTTAAAGATGACGGCTTGAGGTCAGTGTTTGCTTAGGCATTAGATGGGTGTGGCTCCTGCCAATCACTCCTCAGAGCCTGACTGCTGGCAGATTTTAAATCTTGGGTGCTTTGTCCTTCGTATCCAGCAAGCTATGAGTCACCTCCCTTTGATGCCAGGTGTTGTATGTGCAAGTAATGAAAACTCCTCTTAATATTAGTCCAAGCAAAACATAATTAGGAAGGTAAATCTGCTCCTCGCTTCGCTGATTGAACATCAAACCCTTCCTTTTTTCCCATACCCTTCCTTTCCTAAACAGAGTAAAGCCATCTGGAGGAGTGGCCTCTTTCCTTTCACATCATCCTGCTTGGTTGGTAGTGTCCACACCAGTATGCAGAAGCCACTCATCCATTACTCATATGACCAGAAGTCGAGTTTAGCTTGGAATTGTGTGTTCTGTCGAATGTCTGCCTAGCAGGAGTGGGAACTGGTTCTTTGGAAATTCCTAATCGCTCAGAGTAGAATCAGTGTGAACAGGACTCTTGAAAGATTTGGTTTATTTCAAGATCCTATTCTATGTTAGCTGTGTAATCCTTGGCAGGTTAGGTTACTTCTCTGAGCTTCAGTTTCCGCAGTTAAAAAAACAATGCCTTTTGCAGGGTTGTTGTGAGGACTCGATGGAAATGCACCAGAATGTATCTTGCCCAATGACTGGAACATTAATTACATGTGTATAATTACGGGTAAGATGCTGGCCATCTCCTTCTCAAGAGAGAAAAAGGATAGAGCCAGATGAAGATGTTAGCAGGGATGTCAGGCTGGAGGAAGTAAGGACTTTAGTAGTGGAAAAGTCCTTGTGAATTCAGCAGTGACTGCTCATTCAAAATATATTCTTGAGTGTCCACCCTGTGGCAGCCTCTGTGGACATGCCAGGGGCTTTTAAGGAGACTTCCAGAGACAGTCAGGGCCAGGGATGATTGTGTGGTGGGGAACACACAGGAGCGACAGCTTCCTGAAAGAAGTGGCCTCTGTTTGGAGCCCTGGTCAGGGAGAGATTTAGCCAGGAGCAAATGGGAGACGGGGAAGGGGACTCTGGAAGTCCCAGAGCCCTGTGGGAGGAGAGCGGCTCACTCAGGGAACACAGGCAGGTTGTTCATAAAGAAAAATTGAGCAGAGATGCTAAGATGCCACACCATCTGCCCATGCTCAAGAACCAGGCATGGCATCAGACTTTGTTGTGGTACAGCAAAGTTTGCCGTGACCCAGGGGTCACCTGTATAATAGGCAGAAGAGAGCAGATACCTTCCACCATGAGAGACATTTCCCTTCCCTTCCTCCTGAGTTCTGCGGTTCCGTCAAGCACAAACACTTCCAGCATTCCATTGCTCCCAAAGTAGAATGTGTAATGTCAGGCATTTTCTGACAGGGATCACCTTTGGAAATTGAAAGGCCAGGGAAAAATTAGAATGACAAGTGGTTTCATTCTCTTTCTGTGTTTTCTTTGAAGACCAGTTGGGTGGAAACAAACCCAATTATTTCTTTATCACATATAAAATGAGCAGGAAGCCCAAGCCAAGGCTTCTGTTAGGCCGGTGAATTACTTGGAGGAGAGGCCAGCCTGTTCCTAACCTGCGCTATTAATTATAGGGCACTTGCAAAAAGAATTAAGCCTGGAAATACAGCTGGCACGCTAACACCTAATCAGTAAATAATCGAGAGTCAAACCATTATTTTCCTGAAAACTCGAAATTGTTCAAAGTACTTTCCTGATTAGCACCTAAATAATAAAGTAATTCTGTAATTAGTAATTAATTTGTCACTCCAGGTCATAATTTAATTTATTATCTCTTTTTTAAAGCGTGACACCAGAGGTAACAGAGGCTGTGGCTGTGTCAAGTGTGTTTCAGGGGCAGGCTGGGTAGGGAGGGCTCAGTGGGAAGTGAGGCGGGCACACCAGCCAGGGCCTGGGTCAGTGTTCAAGAGCCCCTTTACAAGGGCCTGGGATGGCTCATCCTGCCATGTTTAGCGTTGGAGAGGATGTGTGTTGTGCACACTTGTGTGTATGATGAAGCACACTTCCTGTCAGCTCATTATCCCTTGCCGCATGCCTGTGCCTGTGCTGAGCCAGGGGCTTTGGCAACTGTGGGCCACAGTGGTCTCCCCAGGCTCTTGCTCTCAGAAGTTCTGTGTATTTTCATTTGCGGGGATCTGTAGGTGTGTGTGTTGTGTGCCCTTATTCATGGGCGTTAAGCATACTGCTAAGTGCTCCATGTTCAGAGGGTCCTTATTACCACTAATGGGGACAGAGAGGAAACAAATGACATGGCCTCAGTTAGTTAGAAGTGCCCTAAAGGAAACAAAACAGTAAGGCACAGAGAGTGCTGAAGTGACAGATCAAATGAGCTGACCAGGTGAGGCAGAGGTGAAAGGTACAGAAGACCTGAGCCCTGGATTGAGATCTGGGTTCTAGGCAGAGAGAACCATATGTGCAAAGGCCCTGAGGTTGGAAGCTCTTGCCACATTGCAGGAAGACAAAGAAGCCTATTGTAATTAAAGCACAGTGAGCGGAAGTGTGTTGGCAGATGGGTTTGGTAGGGGAAGGACTCAGCCCTAAAGCCCTGTGACTCAGTCTCCCACAGGGCTTTGTGTAGAGCAGGGAGCCCTCCTGAAACGACTTAGTACTTCAGTGGCTTCCCAGGGTAATAATGATAGTGGTGGCAGAATAACCAATGTTTGTTTTAAACATGTGCCTGCATTGAGCAAGATTTTTTTCACAGTGTTATCTCATGTATCCCTCATATCCATTCTAGATGATGCAGGTTTTGGATAAAGCCCAGAGAGGCTAAGCATCCTGCCCAAAGTCAAGCTTAGGGGTCTTGAGGAACCCCAATGGGCTCGCAGGCCAGCATGGTGGGTTTTCTGGTGGTGTTCAGAATTGGGGGCCACTTTGTCCTGCTGAAGACTTTGGCACCCACAGTCTGAGGGGTTAAGATGGATGGAGCTGCCTGCTCTCACAAGCAGCTCAGGGGAGTGGGACTATCTCTTAAAAGCTGATTATCCAAATAGGATGGTGCTTTACTCACAGCTCCAGCGCAGGGGGAAGATAACCTTTGTGGTTAGAGGGGAACTGAGGAGGGAGCTTCCCGCCCTTGTTATCCATGAGATCCAGAGGGGGAGGCAGGTGGGTGGTTTCCTCTCCGTGTAGAACCAGATTGCAGCCTGGGCCTGGGGTCTGTGTCAGGCCTAGACAGGGCTCTGATGGCAAATGTCCTGGAAATGTGGGGGGCCTGGCTGAGCTGGGGTGCAGGGGGATCCTGAGGGGAAACAAGGGTGGTAGGAGATTGTGGGGGGGGGGCTGTCCCGTTCATGTAGTGATCTTAGTGCTAAGCACAGCAGCTTCTCCACAGTAGATGCTCAGTAAACATTTCAGTGGGAAGTAGCTAAGTTTGACGGGAAAAGCATAGAATTTGGCCCAGCTAGACTGAGATTGGACCCTAGGTCACCCCTCCCTGTGATCCTCACCTGCAGGCTTTTACCACCTCCTGCTTCCTCCTCAGTTGTCCTCATCTCCTGCAGGTTGCAGGGAGTTCTGTGTGTGTGTGTGTGTCTGTGCGTCTGTGTGTGCGTGCGTGTGTGACCCCATCCCTCACCTTCATGGTCTCCTTTGCAGCCCCTCCCACCTTTACAGAAACACCCCCCCAGTACATCGAGGCCAAGGAGGGAGGCAGCATCACCATGACGTGCACAGCTTTCGGGAACCCCAAGCCCATCGTCACCTGGCTGAAGGAGGGGACACTCCTTAGTGCTGGTGGGAAGTACCAGGTGAGTGCCGCTCCGCCTGACCTCCCTCCCTCTTTCCTCTCTGTGTAGCTGGCCACTGCAGGCGCCCCCCCGGCCGTGATCTGCCCTCCTTACCCCAGTGCACTGTCCCTGAGCCATCCCAGCCCGGCTTCTCTGACAGCATCTTTGCCCAGTTGGTGGGCCCATGGTTGGGTGCTGAGGTCTGTCTGTCCTTGGCCCCCAGGTGAGTGATGGCAGCCTGACGGTGACATCTGTCAGTCGGGAGGACAGAGGCGCCTACACCTGTCGGGCTTACAGTATCCAGGGGGAGGCAGTCCACACCACCCACCTGCTCGTCCAAGGTAGGGGATTACTTCAGCCTCTGCGGCCCCATCCTCTTGCAGGGGCCTCCTGGCAGCTGGTGGAGACAGGCAGGCAGGGAGGAGCCAGGCAAGGGCTCCTGAGTTCCACATAGCTTGTGGCCAGATCTCCAGCCCTGGCTCCCCTGGGAAGCACATTGCAATGTGGCAGGGAGGCCCCAACTGAATGGGTTCTGGTTTCCCTCTGCCTAGATAGCATGCCTGCTGTGTCTTCACCTCCCTGGGGAGGAGACCTCCCTCGAGTCATCTGTCCATTAGTGCTGACATCAATAAGTAAAGATGCGAACACAGTCCAAGCCCCAGGCATTTAAACAACAGCAGGCATTTGGCAGAGCTGGGGTCTGTACAGTCAGCACCACGAGATGCCAGTGTTTCGGGCTGGGCACTCACTGTGCAGGGTGGGTGGGGTCCCCTGGAGGGGCTCTGCCTTTCCAACCACTGCCTGTTGGGAGGGGGGTTGGTGGCAGCTGTGTTCTGCTGACAGCTGCTGAGGTGGCACCCGCTCCTTCTAGGGCTGAGCAGCGGGCTAGGGCCAGAGGTCCCTTTGCAGCTCAGCCAGAGTCTGGCCAGCCTCACCAGGGTCTGCTGGAATTTCACCCTCCTCACTCTGCCCCTCTTCCGAGTTGCCCTCTTAACAGGCTGCTGAGGACCCCAGGCCTCTGTCTTGTCTGGAGTCTCCTGCTCAGGCTTTGAGGGGACAGGGATGGGCGGGAATGGGGTGTGTGTAGGTGGGGTAGAAGCTGGCTGGGGCTGTGTGGGCGGGGCACGGGCACGGTAAGAGCCTAGAAGCAGCTCCGTGGTGACTGCTGGGCCCTGCTGCTTCCGATGCCCCTTCCTGAGCACTTCTGAGTTTCCCAGGAGCCTGGGCGGCAGTCCTCCACCATGGCAGAGGTGATGTTTGTTCCCTGTTCTCTCCAGGGCCTCCTTTCATCGTTTCCCCTCCTGAGAACATCACTGTCAACATCTCCCAGGATGCTCTGCTCACCTGCCGGGCGGAGGCGTATCCGGGCAACCTCACATATACCTGGTACTGGCAGGATGAGAACGTCTACTTCCAGAAGTGAGCAGCACCCTGCCCTGCCCCTCTTGGGGGTCCCCACTGCAGGTGTCCAGGGCAAGAGCTCTGAGCAGGGACTGTGCCCTTGGCCTCAGGCTCTAGAGGATTGGAGTGGGGATGGATTGGTCCAGGTGTTTCTCTGCTGAGGCTAGAGAGGGGAAGGCATGGAGGACTCTGGGAATACTGGGGAGCAGGAGTCTGGAGCATCGGGGGAGGTGTATGTGACTCGTCGCTACCTGGTTGGGTGTCTGTTGGAAGACCATCTGTCACTTGCCAACACCCTTTCCCTCCATCTCCTTGGGGTTTTGCAGTGACCTGAAGCTGAGGGTGCGGATCCTGATTGATGGGACACTGATCATCTTCCGGGTGAAGCCAGAGGATGCTGGGAAGTACACTTGCGTCCCTAGCAACAGCCTGGGTCGCTCCCCTTCAGCCTCAGCTTACTTGACTGTGCAGTGTGAGTATGGGTGGGCATTGCAGAAGGTTTGAGCCCCTTTGGGTGGACTGGAGCCCAGAGGCCCACGGGCCAAGTATCATTTAGGGGAATGTGGGTGGAGGAATGAATGAGGGAGCAAGTGGGACAGTGGGCAGGGCCAGGACCGAGCTGGTCACAGCTGAACTGACACTGGCTGGGCATTCTCTGTGGGCTAATTTGTACATTGAGCTTCAAAGATGAGCAGACCTGTGTCCCTGGCCAGCTGTCTCTTGGAGCAGAATGGCTGGCCTTGCACTTAATGCTGGCCCACGCTTCTGAGCCTTGAAGGAGTCACTGGTGAGGGTTTTTCTCCAGTATCTGTGGGGCACTAAGAGCCAGCTCGAGTCATCTTCCTGCCTGCTTCGCTCTGTTCTTCTAGGCTGTGGACAGTGTCGGGTGGGCGCAGAGGATGCTGTTCTAGGATGACAGTCCATTCCCACACCCAGCTCCCTCTGGCAGCCTGTGCTCCTCTAGGGCTGCTGGGCTCCAGATGAGTGAGCTGCTTCTCAGGCAGGATGATCAAGCCTGCTGTGTGAATACAGTAATTCATTTGTTAATCTGTAATACTTGAGCTCCACTGGTTGCTTTTCCACCCTCTGGCAAGCCAAGCATTGTGAGAGTGAAGCAGGGAGAAGGGTGAGTAATGAGGATTAATGTCTCCCTTTTGGTTCGTGGATGGCCCTGTCACTCAGCAACAAAGGCCCGCTTTTCTGCTGCAAGTGACAGACTGACAGAGAGGGCCTGTGTGGGGGACTGGAGTGGCAGGGCAAGAACTGTAACAGTCTAGAGACCGGCTGGCCAGCTCAGCCCAAGGGCTGAATACAAGTCGGGGCACAGTCGGTGGCCTGGAAGGTGGAGTGCCTCCGACTGCTGACTGGAGTGAGGTGCTGCAGGCGACTCCCCGAGTGGACAGGGTGGTGGAGCCAGGCTGGGCCTGCTGGGCCCTGGGGCCCTCACCCTGTGCTCATGTCCCTTCTCGTTCTGTGGAACAGCTCTGCTGGCAGAAGCAAAGGCCCCACTCTTTACCTCTTCTGTCACAACCCGAAGGCCTGGTCACAAGCTATGTGAGTCCCAAGCTTCCAAGAGCTGTGGAGCTGGGCTCTCAGGTGCATCCTGCCAGACGTGCGGTCAGAACAGCAAGTGAAGAAGGTGTTGTTCAGGGACTAAGGATGGGCCTGGGCTGCTCTGGAGCAAAAGTCCTGAAGTCAGGAAGGAACAGACGCCGCCTCATAGGCGCCCCTGTCCCTCTGGCCTGACATAGGCTGTGCCCCGGACAGGAAGGTGCAGTGGCTCAGGGTGCAGAACATCCCGGGGCAGTGTTCTTCAGGATGGTAACCAGGACCTCATCCCACCGTCTTTCTGTTGGAGAGGTGTTTTGGTTTCCCTGTCTCTCCTGGCACTGGCGCCACCACCCACTCCCACTTGTCCTTTTTTACCTCCTTTCTGCCTTCAAAGAGAATCCGGGGGGTTGAGATTTATAGGTGGGTGAGACAAGGATCTTTATTTCTGCTAAAGAGCAGTGTTCAGAGTATTTCCCATTCATAAACCCTGGAGGGAAAAAAAAAGACTACCATACGAAAGTAGGAAGCTATGTCTAAATATATAACGCGGTCTGGTATTTATGTAATGCTGTTCTCTAAAGAGCTCAGAATGCTTAGAAGATAGCAGCTCATTCATCCTCACAGCTTCCCTAGTTCTGGATCCTTCTCTGTAGCCCTTGCGGGGACCAGGGAGAACTGAGAGGAGGTGACTCAGCCTCCAACACAGGGCTGCTGTCCTGCAGGCTTTGTCTGTTTCCCGGCCAGGCTGGAGTCTGCATTTCAGTGGCAGGGCCCAGTGGAGAGACTGAGGCCAAGGGAGGCCGGACATCCAGCAGAAGGGACAAGAGAGGACAGAAATACTCACTGGGGCTACAGCTGAGATGTCTCCTGGGTAGAACCAGCTTTGCCTTTTGGTTTAGGATGCAGAGAGCTGAACTGCTTGCTCCCGAGACAGACTGGGATAAGGAGTGGGGAGGGAGGGTGTGGTCAACATGGAGAATTCGGAGGCTAAGGGGACTGGAGCTCCAGAGTCTGCCTGGCAGGTGAAGTCCAGCCTGGGGGCGCACTGGGACTGGGCCTGTGGAAATGTACCTTTGAATGCCTCCAAGTAGTCTTAACCCAGTGGGTGGGCAGAGGAGCCTGCAGCCTGACTTGGCGGCTAATGGTGGGTTTGTTGTCTTGTTATCCATGGTGGGTCCAGTCCTGGGCCGTGTTGGGCTCTGTGGAGCCACCCGGAGTCGATGTGCAGGCTGTGTCTGGCAGGGCTCTGGGTTTGTTTACCTAGATTGCTCAGCAGATGTCTCACATACCCCTCTTCTCTCCTGCTCTGCAGACCCAGCCCGTGTCCTCAACATGCCCCCCGTGATCTATGTGCCTGTGGGGATCCACGGCTACATCCGCTGCCCTGTGGATGCAGAGCCACCAGCCACCGTGGTGAAGTGGAACAAGGATGGCCGGCCCCTGCAGGTGGAGAAGGTGTGTGGGTGTGGAGCTCAGAGGACAGCAGCCCTCCCAGGACCCAGCTGCTTCCTCTGGGCCCAGTTCTCTGCTGGGCCTTCTGTCCCCAACACAGAATCAATCTGGGGAGACAGTGAGCTGCTTCATCCAGGGTCTGGCAGGAATTTGGCTGCTCTCTTAGGACACAGGGATGATGCCCACGCCCACCCCAGGCTGTAGCTGTCATTCTTGGCCCAGCTTAGGTCGAGTCCCAGGGTGCTGGGCAGAGTATCTGGCCCCTGACCATTGCCTCGTCTGTGTGTGGCAGAACCTGGGCTGGACCTTGATGGAGGATGGCTCTATTCGGATCGAGGAGGCCACAGAGGAGGCTCTTGGCACTTACACTTGTGTGCCTTACAATACCCTGGGGACCATGGGCCAGTCTGCTCCTGCCAGGCTCGTCCTGAAGGTGAGGCACCAGGGCAGTGTTCGGGGGCGGGGGGGGGCCAGTGTTCTGGGGCAGCCCAACCCTGACTATGCTCACGTGCCTGTGCTCCCCCAGGATCCCCCGTATTTCACGGTGCTACCAGGCTGGGAGTACAGGCAGGAGGCTGGCCGAGAGCTGCTCATCCCCTGTGCGGCCTCAGGGGACCCCTTCCCTGTCATCACCTGGAGAAAGGTACCTGGGCTCTGGAGCTCCTGGGCTGTGGGCAGGTGGGCACCCTCAGCCAGTTCTGCTCTGGACCTGCTCTGCTGGCCAGACATCCAGGGGAGAGTCAGCTTCCTGTAGCAGTGGATGCTGAGGGGGCAGAGAGCAGGGGCCGAGGGCCCGGGGTGACCTAGTACCCTTGTCACGCGGAGCCGAGATGGCTCCTCTTCTGACCTCTGTCCAGCCCGTCCTCTCCCTCCCCTTGTCCACCAAGGTAGGGAAGCCCAGCAGAAGCAAGCACAGTGCCCTGCCCAGCGGGAGCCTACAGTTCCGTGCCCTGAGCAAGGAGGACCACGGGGAGTGGGAATGTGTCGCCACCAACGTGGTCACAACCATCACTGCCAGCACCCACCTTACCGTCATTGGTACGTGCACAGGGGCATCCGCATGTCAGGTACTCCGGCTGCCTCAGTCCAGTCCTCAGCAGAGTGGGCTCAGTGAGGGAAGATCAGCCCGGGTCCTGTTCACCACACAGGTGGCAGCCGCGTGGCCAGTGGGCCATGGAGACTGAATTGATGAGCCTGTGAGAAAGCTGGAGGGGCTAGGGTGAAGGAGAGTTGGTGGTATGGCATCCTGGACCAGTGCTGGGCTGAGGCTTGGAGGGCATCCTGGCTCAAGGAGGCTGGGCAAGAGGCAGTGAGAGGGTTCCTCCCTCCTGGGGTGATTCCTGGGTGTGGCCGCCCAGGCACGTGTCTCCACGGCCTCAGACCTCAGGTCCCCTTTAGCCTGTCCCTCTGACAGCCAGTGGTGCCCAGGCCAGCACTCCCTGAGTGTTCACTACCAGTTTTAGGCTGTGGACCAGGTGGTCTGCATTCCTTGTCATTCACAATCGAGAATGTGGCATTTGTTGGGATGGGGCTGAGGAGGTGTGGGACTGAGTGCTGCTGGGCCCGGGCTCAGCCCTGAGCTGACCTGTTATCCTCAGGTGCTGCGTCCTGCTGGGGGAATGGGACTGTGTCCCCAGGCAGGGCCTTTGCCGGTGCCATTTGGTTTTGCCCAGGACCTCAGGAGGAGTGCTGCTATGCTCTCCAGAGGTGCACAGGAGTTAGACCTGGGACGAGGAACCTTCTGGCTTGTGTTTGCCCCACCTCCCTGTGGAGATCCCTGCATCGAGACTGCACGGTGGGGTGGGCTTCCTTCCTGCCCCTGGAGGGGCAGAAGACCTGGCACTCAGCGCCTCCCCTCCCCACCACTGTTGTACTGCATTCTGCCACTCCCTGCTTTGGTCTCTTGGGGTCTGAGCAGCCCAGATGATGGGCTCCTAGTCAGTGGGCTCCCTCCTTTCAGTCTGAGAGGTCTCCCTTGGTCTCCAGGCACCAGCCCCCACGCCCCAGGCAGTGTCCGGGTCCAGGTCTCCATGACAACTGCCAACGTGTCCTGGGAGCCGGGCTATGATGGAGGCTACGAGCAGACATTCTCAGTTTGGTACGGACCTCTGTGAGTCAGCCCCGCATGCTTCGCTCTCTGCTTCTTCCTCCCTGCCTGACTCAGGCAGTCCCGGGTGGGGGGAGCCTAAGGCAGTTGTGGTCTGCGAGTGCCAGCCCTGCAGGTGGCAAAGAGGCAGTCAGAGACGGGGTTCTTCTGGGTACTGGGTATGTAAAGGGACTCTGCACTCCTGCCCTGAAAGTGGAGGCAGCCAGTTTTGAGTCATTGCCTGAATCTCCCTGGACCATCTAAAGCTCTCCCTGGCTTATCTTGGTGCTCCCCATTTTTAGGGTCCTGCCTCATTCTTTTTCTGGGTTCCTCTGGCATCTTGAAGAGACTTCTGATGATTTTAAGAGCTGAAATAGCCCAGCCTGAAGCATAGGATCTACTTTCATTTCTCACAGTTGTCCCAGGAGCCAGTTTGGAGAACTGGTGCTCCCCTCCCCGGCCTTGCTGCCATGTCCACATTTCCTCTGTAAGACCCTATGTCTCGTGTTCTCATGTCCCTGTTATGATTTAGGCAGATGCAATGAAGCGAGGTCTTCTTTGCCCAAACCTTAGGGCAGGCAGAGATCTCAAAAACGCATGCACCAGGGTGACAACCAGAGGATCAGAAAGTGGGAGAGCGGCCCGGGGACCCCTCATCACCCTGGGGCTCCTGTTGCTCCTGTCCTGAGCCGAGGCCTGTAGCCACTTGGCCCACAGATGACCTGACAGGGAGGATGAGCCCCTCACTTACTCCTCTTCAGCCCTGTCCCACCCAGGCACATTTCCGGCGGGCTCAGGCTGAGCTTGGGGAGGAGGAAAACCCTGACCACAGAGCAGTGCTCAGGGGCACTCAGGGAGAGTACTCGGCCCACTGCTCAGCAGCAGGAGGTGGAGAGGGTGCCTGCTCTGTTTCCTCAGGAGGGTTGAGGGTTGGATGTCCTGGGTATGGGGCGTCATGGGTCCTGGATCGACTCACTGCAGTTACAGCCCCCTCCCACCCCATCTGTGTCTCTTCTCTGAAGCAGGGCTGTGGGGGCTGCTGTGGGATGTGTGGCAGGGGGTGGGGTGGGCATGGCCGAATCCTCTCTGGGGGTGCTGAGCAGAAGGTCTGGCACAGAGTGGGCTTCCCTGGCTGCTTGTGGCTCTCTCCACCTGCTGCTCATCTGCATCGCTTTGTCACGGTGTGCTCACTGCCTTTGGCCCTGGGCGGGGAGGGTGCCTTCCCTCCTTTCTGACTGCCTTCAGCTCTCTGTGTCCTGACTCAGATGTTTGGCGCTAGCTTCCTTTTGCTGTGCCTTCCACTGCCTTAGCTCACCCTTCTGGGCATACAAGGTGGCAAACCTTAAACCTAGAGGGAACCCCTGGGTATGTGTGCAGTTCCAAGGCAGGGCAAAAGGAGCAGGCTGGCTCTACGGGGCAATGTCTCCTCCCAGTGGTGATGTGGTGGCACTGCAGCAGATGGCTTCATTGGCTCCTGGGATGGCAGCCTTCTCAAACAAGGACAACTTTTGCCTGCTCAGTACTCTTTATGTACAGTATGATGTCCCCCTTGTCTGAGATTTCTAACCCTCAAGGCCTTAGGCATCTTGATCCCACGTTGGGAAACCCCAGGTCACTTTTGCCATAAGCCTTGGACGTCCTCAGATGACCCAGATCTGATTGGGTTGAGTGAGCCTCCCTGGTTACTCGGGGTGGGCAGCTGGGTCCCCCACCTGGGTCCCTTCCCTTGTCCTGCCCACACCCATGTGCTTTATCGTCACTCTCCAGTGTTCCTCTTCTCCCAAGGCAGAGCCTACTCACAGTATGGTGCTCAGGGTGGGAATCTCCCACAGTGCACTTGGTGATGTGACCGTAACTTCAGTGTGGTTTCCGCCCCAGGGCCTCTTTCTGTGGGGGAGGAGCCAGTGATGGAGTTAGCTGGTGTCATGAGGGTTGGCACAGCCAGAGCTGGGCAGGTCACCCACCTTGGCATCTCCTTTTCCCACCCTTGACCCTGGGAATGTAGTCCTCTCACCCCTTCTCCCTGAGGACAGTGCGTGACACTCTTCTCTCCAGGGTGACCCACCCACCCTTTGTTCCCCATCCTCTCTCTTTTGGCCAGGATGAAGCGGGCACAGTTTGGGCCCCATGACTGGCTGTCCTTGTCAGTGCCACCGGGCCCCAGCTGGTTGCTAGTGGACACCCTGGAGCCCGAGACTGCATACCAGTTCAGTGTCCTGGCCCAGAACAAGCTGGGAACCAGCGCCTTCAGTGAGGTGGTCACTGTGAACACTTTAGGTGAGCACCTTGGGGCTGGCATGTGTTGGGCTGTTCCCCGCAGAGCTGGGGCACACAAAGGTGATGGTAGTGGTGTTCCCATGCTGTCCTTTGGGGTTTAGAAAGTGCATGGCACCATACCGAGTACTCTCTGTGATGGTGGCTTTGGGTTTCCTTCTTAGGACTCAGCATGTCCTTCTGCAGGATCCCCTGGTCCTGTAGCTTGGTACTTTTGGTGGAATTCTTGTTGCAGCCTCAGGGAAGGAGTTTTGTATCTTACCTTTCCTCAGTAGCCTCAGGCTTGCATATTCAGTGGGGCTGGGACTCACCCTTCAACACTGCTTGGCTGTAATTGTTTCCCCTCCCCAGAGGCCTGAGAAGGGTCTGGGTGAGCAGGCTGTTTCCAGAATCCCTCCCTGTACAGCACCAGGGTGGGCAGAGGGGCAGGGCGGTCACCCCTCCTCCACAGCACTTCTGGCAGGCCTCATTTTGTGCTCCTGGCCAAGAGGGGATTGAAAGTGAACAGCACTCTGTGGCCTTCCTCTGGTTCCCGGGAAGAGTCATGTGTGCTTAACATCAATGTTACAATGTGAGGGCGCCTGAGAAGCACCAGTCTGCAGCACTGTGCAAACATCATGTATGTATTTACCAAACCTAGGTGATACAGCTATGAGAAATGGCACAGTCAAGCACAGGACATGCAGGATGTGTGGAGCTGGTGCTGGCTGCAAAGGGCATGCTACTTTATAGAAACTTTTTTATAAGTAGAAATACATTCTGATAATAAAATGTACCAATGTAGCTGAGGTCACGCCTGCAATCTCAGCACTCTGGGAGGCTGAGGCAGGAGGATCTCAAGTTCAAGCCCAGCCTGCGCAATTTAGTGGCTTATTCAGACTGTCTTGAAATTAAAACAAAACAAAAAAAGGAGCTGGGAATGTTGCTCAGAGAAAAGACCTGGGGTTCAATCCCTAGTAGTGCAAAAAAAAAACGAGTCTCACATAGTAAATACATAAACCAGTTGCTGTTGTTTATTATCATTGTCAAGTATTTTGTCCTGGACACAACTGTATGGGCTGCACTGTGTACAGCAGGCAGTGCAATAGGTCTGTGTACAACAGCGTCACCACAAACATGAGTACTGTGTTGTTCCATGATGTGAATACAGCTACTGTGTTACTACCAGACAGCAACTTCTCAGTTCCATTCAGACCCCACAGGCACGTAACATGTAGCCGCTTGCTGACTGCACCTCTGTGTGGCCCATGACTACTTCATTGCACTTGGCTCTTCTCCCCTGAGCTGCTGTTCCTTCTCTGGTTAGGGGTACTTGGTTCCCTCATGCATGTTCTTTAGACCTACTCTGGAGGTTGGGGCAAGATGATCTAGGCCACCGGCCTTGGTCTCCCTTCCTGAGGACCAGGAGGGCTTCTCTAGGTGACGCCGCTAACAGAGGCTGCAGCTGCCCCTGCGTCCGCCGCCTTCCTCTTCCTCTCCCTCTCCCTCTTCTGCAGCATTCCCTATCACAACTCCAGAACCTCTGGTGCTGGTTACCTCACCAAGGTGCCTCACAGCCAATCGGACCCAGCAGGGTGTGCTCCTGTCCTGGCTCCCACCTGCCAACCACAGCTTCCCGATCGACCGCTATATCATGGAGTTCCGAGTCGGGGAGCGCTGGGAGATGCTAGACGATGCCATTCCGGGTACCGATGGAGATTTCTTTGCCAAGGATCTGTCACAGGTGAGGCCTGGCTTTTCCTTGCCTCTTTCCTCAGTCCTGAAAGCGGTATGGCTTTGCAGAGCCACTGGGAGCTCTGGGTGATACAGCTCAGATGCACGGGGTCAAGTCCTACACTGTTCCTCCTCACCTCCATTCCTGGGTGCTCCCGGACCTGCTGCTGAGGCTGCTGAATTCCCCCAGAACAGGGCCAGCTTGGTGGCAGTGGGGACTTATCCCACACACAGACACAAGCTCGGGCTGGGCAGTGTGAGAGGCTGACATAGTCCTCAGACCCCAGGTGTTTGCTTGGCCTTGGGGAGGTAGGTAGAGGAGGCTCCAGAAGGATGGTCTTCAGAAAGTACAGTATCTGCTTTTCACTGGCCCCTTTAAAACATAACTCTCTCTCTGTCTCCGGAGAGGAAGCTGCTGTTTCTGGGTACTGCTGATCTTGCGTATCTTTCTTCCCTGAATGCTGGTTTAGGGGCAGTTGTGCTGGCATCGCTCACAGTGCCTTCTCAGACCCCCTGTGCACATGTCTTCCCAACTCTTAGCGACCTCACGTTCGTAGCTTGAGATCAGTGGGAACATTTACCCCACAGCAGTGTCCAGTGCTGCCCATCACTGGCCAGGAAGCTCTTACTAGGACCCTGGTGCTCTGGGGTCCTGTTCCCTGGAAGTCCCGTGCAGGTTAAGTGGTGGCAGGGATGGTGGTCATCCTGGGTGCCTTGGCTGACCGGGTATTGTCCCTGTGGCTGTAGGACACCTGGTATGAGTTCCGGGTTCTGGCCGTCATGCAGGACCTGATCAGCGAGCCCAGCAACATTGCCGGTGTCTCCAGCACAGGTATGTGTGTGTAGGGGGAGTTGAAGGCCGGAGGACAGTTGGGGCGGAATTAAGGAGGTGGCCAGCAGAAGCTATACAAGTTGTAGCATCTCTGAAGCCGCTGAGATTCGTGCTTCTGTGACTCGTGGTATTGTACCCCACTGAAGGGCTAGGTTTTGACAGTTCTGTAGTACAGCCACAGAAAGAAATTCAACCAATCTTCTCATTACAGTCATCAAAAAGAGCCCTGGTAATGTTACTTCTCCCATGTTTGCTGTCTCCTCGAGTGCTGTGCTCCGATGGGGGTGGGGCAGTGGATTGGAGGATAGGAGCCAGCCGGTCAACAAGTGTTTGTAGGATGCCTGTTATAGGCCTCTTTATAATTACGTGGGTTTTACTGGAAAATTGTTGTTTGGTGTTGTTTTCCTCCCTTCCTTCCTCTCCCTAGATTTTTTCAGGCTAAATAAAGCCAACTCCCTGGCATTTTCTGCATTTATCGCTCTTTCTCTTGGCACCCGTCCCATTTCTACATGTCTTCTCTCTAGCTCCAATCCCGAGACATAGCCGTGTCCCCCCCGGGAAGTGGTGTCCTTGGTACAGAAGGGGCTCTTGCCTAGTAAGCCAGCAGTGGCACCACTTCTGTAGGCACTGTGTGTACTGAGACTTCCGGGCCCAGGGGGCAAGGATCTTGGCCAAGAAGCTCATGCAGCAAGCCCTGTGGAGCTACAGAAGCGCTGGCATGGGGAGCAGAGAGCTGTGGGCTCCAGGGATCCTGGGAGGAGTGTGAGTTCTGTCTCCTGGTAGGCACCCTGGGGCTCTTTTGGTGAAACACAGCCGCCTCCTATAGGCAGCAGAACTGAACTCACTTCTGCCTTGGCTCCCCTCCAGGGCTTACACTCAGAGGTGGAGGAGCAAGGAAGAGAGCAGAAGGCTGCAGCATTCTGGGGCTCATTTCCATGAACTTTTCTGTGCTCATAGCTTTATGCTCGGCTCTTGTTAGGAAGCGTGCCTTGTCTAAGGATTCCTCACAGGCCAACCAGGACGTGGTCACCTCAGCATTTCCCAACATTAAGGCTCCTGTCTCCAAAGGCCGTGGTGTTCTTTTCCTCTCAACTCATTGGCATAATTTGGGTTATTTTTATCCATCATTATTACTGACCTAGTAGTGCACACTGGCCAGGTATATCAGGGTGCGTCGGTTTTCCCTTTGATGGACCTGCGCACATGGCCCTTACTGACTGAACCGCCCTGAGTCTGGTGCAATAGACAGGGCCTAGTCCTGGCTCTGCCATTCGTTAGCTCTGCATTTGGGCACAAAGTCAAATTTTCACCTGTAAAATGGGAGCACTGATCCTGTTGCTACTGTCCCAGCCAACACAAGCATCTTCTGCAGTGCAGATGCCCAAGGCCTGCCCTTGCTGAAGGAAGTAAGTTGCATGACTGTCCTGGGAACAGTTAGGCAGTGGATGGCTCAGTTCTTTGCAACAATCCCTGTCCTTGCTCTAAGACTTTGCTCTCAAGATGCCTTCCTCTCTGAGCTCTGGGAGAGAGCAGGGAAAGCAGAAAATCCTGGACTAGAGGTCAGGACAGCCGGATTCTGGTTAGGGCACTGATAACGTGAGCTTGCACTCAGCACATGCCAGTGTGCTTTAGAGACTGAGAGCAACTACGTGTGCTGTCTCCTTGCGCTAAGGAGAAGATCTGACAACACACATCCGAGTTCTCTGCACATGTAGAGCACCAGGCAGATATCACTGCTGACTGATTGTCCATCCCCACGCTCTGCAGAAGTTACTGGGCTTCTGCACACTCCCCTTCTCCCTTCTCACAGGGCACGCAGACCTCCTCAGTGTGGCACAGAGTGTGCAGCTGAGCCCCAGCACTGTGGGGTGCACAGCCTGGGGATATGGGGCAGAGAAGGGACTCACCAGCACTCTGACCCTCCTTGCAGACATCTTCCCGCAGCCAGACCTGACTGATGATGGGCTGGCCCGGCCTGTGTTGGCTGGAATCGTTGCTACCATCTGCTTCTTGGCAGCTGCCATCCTGTTCAGCACTCTGGCCGCCTGCTTTGTCAACAAGCAGCGCAAGCGCAAGCTCAAGCGAAAGAAAGGTGGGTGTGTGCCGACTCCCCCTGCTCCACCTGGCTCTGTGTCAAGTGCTCCCCATGAGGAGAGGGGACCACTGACAGCATGGGCTCCCTGGGAGTGGAAATAGGGGAGCTGGGATCTCATAGGTGGAGCTGCAGGGGACTTGTTTGGACCGAGGGAGGAAGGCAGGGGCGGTGGGGGCTGGGGTAAGTGAGCTGGAGGGAGGGCCGCCTGGTGATGGTTGCAGGCCTCTGAGCTGGACACTTCCCTCTGTGGCTTTGCTCAGGCCCTGCCTTTGACACCAGTGGGTCAGGCCTAAGTGGGCTCCCTCCCGATTTTCCCTTGCAGACCCCCCACTGTCCATCACCCACTGCAGAAAGAGCCTGGAATCTCCGTAAGTGTTTCGGGCGGCTGGTGGTATGTGGTAGCAGGGGGAGGCTGGGCACCAGTGAGCAATTGCCGTGGTTGGGCCCACTGCCCTTCTTCTAAGTTGTTTCCTGTAAACTGGGCTGTGTGTTAATTTTAAACAGTACACAGAGCTCGAGGGAGTGGTAGATGATCAAAACTAGCCGGTCCTTCGTTTCTCTTTAGCCTTATGATGTTTTTCTATAATTTTTATCGTCCTAGCAGATTTACCTTCTTAATATGTTTTAAGTCAGTATTAAAATGAACTGTATTCCTTGACCAGCCTGGAAAGGATGCTGGAGGTGTGCTTAGACAGCATGTGCCAAATGAGGGGCAGGATGTGGCAAAGGAGCTTGTGGTTCTTCCTTCCAAAGTGGACAGTCTAGATGGCCTGGTGGTGGCCAGAGTGTTTCTCATCGAAGCACACAGCCCCTCAGGCCCCTTTCCTCAGCGTTGCCTTCCTGGAGTTAGTGGTCATCCAAAGGGGAAGAAGCCGTTGGGGGGCGGTGCATAGCCCTCACAGCCTTACTCTCTGCCCGCAGCTTGTCCTCTGGCAAGGTGAGTCCAGAGAGCATCCGCACGCTCCGTGCCCCGTCCGAGTCCTCTGATGACCAGGGCCAACCTGCTGCCAAGAGGATGCTGAGCCCCACCCGGGAGAAGGAGCTGTCCTTGTACAAGAAAACCAAGCGGGCCATCAGCAGCAGAAAGTACAGTGTGGCCAAGGCCGAGGCCGAGGCTGAGGCCACCACCCCCATTGAGCTGATCAGCAGAGGTCCGGACGGCCGCTTCGTGATGGACCCCTCTGAGATTGAGCCCTCAATGAAGACCCGGCGCATTGAGGGCTTCCCCTTTGCGGAGGAGACAGACATGTACCCTGAGTTCCGGCAGTCTGATGAGGAGAATGAGGACCCCCTGGTGCCCACATCTGTGGCTGCCCTGAAGTCTCAGCTGACCCCTCTGTCTTCCAGCCAGGAGTCCTACCTGCCTCCACCAGCATACAGTCCTCGCTTCCAGCCCCGTGGGCTTGAGGGGCCCAGTGGCCTGGGAGGCCGGCTGCAGGCCACGGGCCAGGCCAGGCCCCCAGCGCCCCGGCCCTTCCACCATGGGCAGTATTATGGGTACCTCAGCAGCAGCAGCCCTGGGGAGGTAGAACCACCGCCCTTCTACATGCCGGAAGTGGGCAGCCCCCTGAGCTCGGTCATGTCATCCCCACCCCTGCACACTGAGGGGCCTTTTGGCCACCCTACCATCCCAGAGGAAAATGGAGAAAATGCTTCCAACAGCACTCTGCCCTTGACTCAGACACCTACGGGAGGGCGTTCCCCTGAGCCCTGGGGCCCGCCAGAATTCCCCTTCGGGGCCCTGGAAGCCCCAGCCATGATGTTCCCCCACCAGCTGCACGCCCGTGATGTGGCCGAGAGTCTGCAGCCCCAGCCCTGCCTGCCTCGAGGACTGCCCCCCACCTCCCTGCAGGTGCCTGCAGCCTACCCGGGCATGCTGTCTCTGGAGGCGCCCAAGAGTTGGGCAGGCAAGTCTCCTGGCAGGGGCCCTGTCCCGGCGCCCCCAACAGCCAAGTGGCAGGACAGACCCATGCAATCCTTGGCTAGCCAGGGGCAGCTGAGACATACCAGCCAAGGTATGGGCATACCTGTGTTGCCTTACCCCGAGCCAGCTGAGCCGGGGGGGCATGGTGGCCCCAGCACATTTGGCCTGGACACTCGGTGGTATGAGCCCCAGCCCCGGCCCCGGCCCAGCCCCCGGCAGGCCCGGCGCGCCGAGCCCAGTTTACATCAAGTGGTGCTACAGCCCTCTCGGCTCTCACCTCTGACCCAAAGCCCCCTCAGCTCCCGCACTGGCTCCCCTGAGCTCGCTGCTCGTGCTCGGCCTCGTCCGGGCCTCCTGCAGCAGGCGGAGATGTCAGAGATCACCCTGCAGCCGCCCGCTGCGGTCAGCTTCTCTCGCAAGTCCACGCCATCCACTGGTTCCCCTTCCCAGAGCAGCCGCAGCGGGAGCCCCAGCTACAGGCCTGCCATGGGCTTCACCACTCTGGCCACAGGCTACCCCTCCCCTCCACCGGGCCCTGCCCCTGCAGCGCCCGGGGACAACCTGGATGTGTTTGGACAGACACCTTCCCCTCGGAGGATGGGGGAGGAGCTGATCCGGCCCGAGCCCCCAACAACGTTACCTACTTCAGGGTGAGTGTGAGCTGCCATGGGCCACCCCTCCCCACCTCCTCCCCATGCCTCACCCTGCCCACTGCCTTCCACCACCCCAGGACGGGGCTCGCGTGAACAGGCTGCGGCATCTCTTGGGCAGGAGCGCTGGCCGCTGCATTGGCAGGGTGTGGTCACAGGGCCAGGGTGGGCTCAGGTGTGCCCATGAGGAGCTAAGGGGTTTTCTCCACCCAGCCCTGAGCTCATTGGAGGCCCACAGCTGACCAGGGATCGTGGGAAAGGGAGGGGCCGTGGTGAATCAGAGGGGGACTCCGAAAGTGGTAGCCTGGGATCCAGGCCCTCTGTGTGCCCGTGATCTTGCTGCTGGGGACAGGTTCCCTGGTGTTGCCCATAGACCTGTGTCCCACTTCCTCCTTTCCCTGGCCCCTCCTTACAAGCAGGACCCTGGAGCCAGGAGCCACCTGCTCTGAACGCCTGCCCCCAGCTCCCCTAATGAGTGAGCACTGGCCAGCCCCTGTCCACAGCCTCTCCAAGAATGGTGCATCCTGGAGGCTGGGATGGGAGGGAAATCTCAGGCTTTGTGTGCCAGGAGCCACATCCCCCCACACACCTGTGTACCTCGCAGGAAGCTGCAGAGAGACAGACAGACAGACAGACACGCCCCTGCGATCAGCCCGCCCGAGAGAGAGCACTCTAAACTGTAGCAGCTGGTGTTCCAGGTACCAGAGCGGCCTGGACGCCCACCTGCGCCTCTTCTTCTGTCTTCCTGCCCCCTCCTCCACCTCCTTGCCTGTCCTCCCTTCTCCAGTTAGTCTCTCGTCCGCCTTCTTCCTTCTCCATCGCCTTTGGGTTCACCTGACTTGCTCAGAAGAGCCGGCCACCACTCTGTGCCCACCTCGCCCACTCTTCCTCTCTCCCTCCCTCTCCCCCTCTCTGGTTTGTACTTTGGTCTCTTCTGGATGTAGTAGCCTGTGGATGGGAGCAGTTCCAGAGGAGGCTGTCCTGGTGGGTGAGGATGGGGTGGCCTGGGAGGCCGAAGCTGGCGCCCTCCCCCGCCCCACCCCCTCCCACCCTCTCTGGTACCTGGAAGGGCAAGGTCACCTCTACCCTCCATACCCACCAGGTGGGCGCTCTGTGGGTAGAGCAGCGTGTGGCTGGGGTGGAAGAGAGCTCTAGGAGGGCGCCCGCCTCTGTCTGCAGGATGCTGTCGTCGCCCCTGTCTGTGCTTTGTGCAGCACGCTCACCTGCTTTGTTCCATCATGCGTCTGGTTCTCCGTCTCTCTCCTCTCCTCCCTCACCCATTCTCTGGCCTCGCCTGTGGGACTCTGCTCACTGTGCCCCTCCCCTCTGGGTGTGCGTGGGTGGTTCCCCCAGCCTTGTTGGTAACTGCTTTGTTTCTGATTGATCTCAGCTATCTGGGCAGTGTTGTCGAGACAAGCCTCTCCTCAGCTCAATAGGTAAGGGAGCTCCTCGGCTGGGCCGGGTGGGGGTGGGCAGCGGACGGGGCTTCCGCAGGGCCATTGCTTCCTTGACAGGGGATCCAAATCACATCCCCTCACTGCCCGTGGGGACAGCTGCCACTCCTCGATTCCCATGGCTTCTGGGTTCCCCACATCGTGCTGTCTGGGCTGCTCCAGCTGCCCCCTGGGCCATGCCCAGCACCATCTGGCTGCAGCTTTTAGCCTCCCAGTCCACATCCAGCCCCTCCCAGAGCCCCTGCGGTCCCCTCTCATCCTGCTGCCGACATCTAGAGCCTCCCTTGGCAGCCGGGACTCTGCATGCACCCGAAGGACCAGAATCTGCTTTGCCTCTGCACTCTCAGGCCCTCTGTGAGCCACACTGATGTTCAGGATCCTCCCTCACTACCCTGCACAGTTCTGCCCTGTTTTCCCAGCAGCCTCAGGCATAGTTCTCCCTTCCTCACCTAGCCCTAGACGCTTAGATCTTACCCTGGGCTTGTGTTTCTTCTCTGCATTCTTGGGATCTTAGTGATTCTAGGTCATCTCAAGGAGTCAGGAGTCCCCCTAACATTTGGGGCTTCCTCAGGGTCAGGTGGGCTCTGGTCCTGTTGGGGCGGGGGTGACAAAATGTCACCACTTCCTCATGCTCCTTGCATCCTGCAGCAGGTTCTTGGTTAGAGGACTGAAGTGTGACCTCCTCTCCAGTCCTAATTGCTTTCAAGGACCCTGCAGTAGCTTTGCTGTCCTCCTGGAGTTATATTGTTAAGGGGTCTTGGCAGTAGCTCCCCTGGGGAAAGTGGGCTTCCCCCAGGCAGAAGGGAGCTGAGAGGAGAACACTGCCCCTATCCCAGTGTGGCCAGCTCTCACTCTGCCTCCCTCCAGGGCAGGCCAAAGAGGTGTGGCCACTATCAGACCCTCAGATCTCTCAAAGAGGCTCAGGGTGACCCACAGAGATGTGACTTTTTGGCCTGGACTCTGCTTGTGCCTCGGGAGCACGCACGCTGTCCTGCTTTCTGGATGCAGAAGGGGAGCCTTCCATCTGCGTGCAGTGGGCTGCCAGTAGCTGTGTCCCTTCCCACCTCAACATGCCCAGGGAGGCCAACTTTCCTAACTCAGGGCTATACATCTCACTTTGAACAGCGACCCCCATAGAGACAGCTGCCTTGTAGAACTGTCCGAGGCCACGAGGCCCCAGGACTGTGTGTGAGGCTGTCTGGTGCCACACTGCAGTCAACCAGCACTGGCAGGAGCCCAAGGGCATTATGAGCTCACCTGCTGCGTGGCCTCCTGTAGCCTCCTGTGTGGATGCTGTGGGGGAGAGAGGTGGAAGCTGCCCTGTACCTTCCCAACCTCTCCAGTTAGGACTTCTCTTGCCCTGAGGGTCACAGTCGCTTTAGACCTGCTCTCATCCTAGCTTTTGCCAAGTATCTCAACTCCCTTCCCACCTGTTACTTCCCTCCTGTCCCTTCCTACCACACTCCCCCATTCTTCAGTGCTCCCCCATCCGAGCGAACCTAGTTACCCTACCACTGCTGTGGCAAACCCAGAAACCAGGGGCAGCGACGAGGGACTGTTGTTCTTCTCCCGGGCCTGGCCAGTGTCCCCAGCCTAGGAGAAGGAAGTCCTCCCACCTCCTCTGAGTTAGACCTTCATGGTGCTGGTCAACAGGAGCCTCTGCTCATTCTCCTGCTTGCTAAGAACCTCCCTGGGGTGCAAGAGCTGCTGGGGCCATGGGGAGATGGCGGCTCCTTTGCAGACGCCACCTTCACGCCATGCCTTTGCATGTATTTCCTCTCCGTCCCGCTTGGAGAAGTTGTGACACCTCCTGTCGATGTCCGTTCGCGCTGTTTCTTTCCCGTTGATTTCTCCTATTCCTTCTGCCACTCTTGTTGTTTCCCCCACCTTTCCTCTGTTCTCTCTCCCCCTTTTTTCCTCTTCCCAACTCCCATCTCAGTGTGGGGAGTTGTTCAGTGTGGACCTGTACTTCTGTGGATGGCTGGGGGCTGAGCCATTGCCCAGCTCCCATCTGGTGTACCTCTACCCCTCATGTCTTTGTCTGGTGCCCTTTCCCTTAAAATCTGCTGTGACCTCAGTGACACCGGGCTCTGGAAGCAGGAGGTAGCCCCCTCTTCTTAGGTGAGCCATAGAAGGGAACTCCCATTTGGATCGGAGCCCCTCCTGAGTTCTTTATGCTGACCCACTGGAGAGAGTCCACCTGTGTGTGTGTGGCTGGTTGGGGCTGACCTGCAAACTCTCAGCAGTCCATGCAGTCCATGGGGAATGGGTTCACCTTTTCCAGAGCCAGAACATGTACATGAGTGGGTTTCCTCTGCCTCCTCTTAGCCACAGTGTCGCACCAGGCAAGTGGAGTTTGTTCTCAGGTGGTGAAGAGAGGAGAAAGAAGTGCCCTTTGTGTCATTGCCTCAGCCTGGTGGCTGGAGGATTAGGAACTTTGTCATAATAGTCCATCCTTAGGGAATCGAGGGAAAATGTGTACAAATGGGTTTTGTCTTTCCTGTCCTGAGGTTTGCCTCCTTCTTGTGTCTGGTTGCCTCTTCCCTCAGCTACCCTAAGTAAGCAGAGAACTAAGCCATAAGACGTCTTATGGGAGGGAGATCAGTTAATTCCTGGCAATTAAGTTTTAATAATTAGGGAACTGGGATTTATGGGAAGTGGGGACCCAGAAAAGACCATAGACTTTGATGCTTTCATCTTTCCGTAGAACCTTTACTTCCTGAGAGAAGAGGAACCCCAGGATTTACAGCATTCCTGCGTTTTCAGATGAATTTAGGCCGATAGGAAGGAGATCTCAGACCTCAGCTTCTTAAGAGTGCCCATGGGCAGGTTGTATTGTAAACGGCCTTCCACAGGTCAGATTCTGGTTACTTCACAGCTTTATTCCAGGGTTAGGAAGGAGTTGCTTCATCTCACCTTCTTATATGAGACAGCACCAAAGACTTCACAACCAGAAAGGCTCCAGCTAGGCTTGGCATTGACAGGGACATGGTCCCCATGCCAAAAAGGGGAGGGAATCTGGCTCCAGAGGGCTTTCCGTGCAGTTGGTAAAGTCTGAAGGAACGTATTTCACATATCTTTTCTGTATAATTTATCAAAAATAGACCCATTTTGCTTAGCCCCTTCCTTTCACCTGTCCTGCTAGACACTTGCTTTTATTTTTGCCTTTGGCATTAGATGAGTGTCCTGGTGCATCTGGGAACCTTCTTCTGTCACATTGCCGTGTTTGAGTGCTGAGCCAGGAGCTGAAATAGCTGGGCAGCAGGTGTCCTGGAAGGTTTGGAGTTTGGCTGGTTCTCAAGGGAAAATTGGCTTCTTGTTCTCCATAGATCATTACTGTTTGGGAATTTTTGCCCAAAGCCATAACTTCAGTTGGTTTCCCCCTCCTGGTATGTCTTACTTACCTGGCTCTGACCCTGAAGCACAGGACATCAGCATGTCTATTGCAGGGCAGCTTTATTTCTCACATGTAGTGTGGGAGCAGTGTTGTTCTATTGTAGCTTCTACACCTGTGTCTATTGGAAGAAAAAAGAGCAGTTTAGCAAAATGCTAGAGTCAGATTGTTGGATAAGTTGCTAAGCCTGTCTAAACTTCAGTTTCTCCATATAAAAAATGGGATCAATGTAGTATTCAGCTCTGCGGGTTGTTGTAGACATTAGAGACAACTGTACTGAACATAGGACGGTGCCCAGCCTGGTAAGTGGTAAACACGTTAATGATGAAAATGATAATAATCATATGTTGGTTATAATAGTAATAACCCCTTGGAAGTTTCACCTGGTTTGAAGACAGAACTTTTAGTGCTGCCCTGTACAGCTTCCTGCTGTGCACTGACCTCACTGGGGAGGAGTCATTTATTATAGGCTAGTTGGGACTGACCTGCGAACTCCTGGCTTTCTATGCAGTACACAGAGAATGGATTCATCTTTTCCCTATCTATAGAAAGTCCACGAGTGAGTTTCTGCTGCCTCCTACCCACAATATCTCACCAGGCAAGTCGAGTTTGCCTTCAGGTAGTTAAGGAGAAGAGGAGGAAATGCCCTCCATGTCACTGCTTCTGCCTGTTGGTTGGGGGTAATTGAGACTGTTGTAACTGGGATTATCCAGGGCTCTGTTGGTGGCCACTGTCCTTGCCTATCATGTGCCACCTCAGACCATCCATCGCTCAGCTTGTATAGTGTTTCTGAAGAGGCTGGCCAGGACCAGGAAGTGGGGAAACTGAACAGGTAGACTCATACCTTTGATCTTCCTTTTAGGGAGCATGAAGAAGCCCTGGTCATGGCCAAGAGGGGATCAGGACATTTCCCCAGCCTCGGGAAGGCAGGCTGTCTCCTGCCCTTTGCCTCCAAATTCCTTTCTAGTTGCTGCTCCCACCATAGATCTCTGCGGGTCTTTGTAGAAGATGAAGGAATGGGTCATTGGCATACTGGGTCTTTGGGGAAGACCTGATTTCTGTTCTGGAGCTGGATAACTTCTCTGTGAGAGGTGTGGGCCCACATAGGGTGCTTGGTGCTACTGTTCAGGCTGTGGAGAGTCAAGAAGACGTCTCTGACTTGAACTTTGAGGGAGCTTCTTGGTACTTTATGCTCTGAAAGACTCTAGAATGATACCCATCAAAGAAGATGGAGGTTGCTCTATGGCCAGTAATGTCAGGAGAACCCAGAGACCAGAGGCTTACCTCCACTGTGTCTGGAAGTCTCTTCTCCATGCTCGCGGGGACATCTGATGTGGTGGAGATGGGGTTGCAGTCTTTTCATCTTTATTTATTTTTTTTAATGACTTCAGGTGCCTCACTCACATTTGGGGACTTGGTCCTCATAGGCTGTCTTTTTCTTTTTTTTTTTTTTTTTTGGTACCAGGGATTGAACTCAGGTCCTTGTGCTTGCACCTGAAGCCAGAGGTCCCACGGACA